TCTCTGCTAAGTATGGTTGCTGGTATTGCAGACTTTACGACGTGATTTGTTTCTTAAAAACAACTATGTTTTTTAATTGTTGATGCCGTTGTGGTATTACGGTGACCTTTGAAAACGTTATGATGCTGAAGTTACACTGCATTGTGGTCGCACTTTAGTTCTATGGTAACCAGTAGAGTTTGCATTTACAATAACTTGTTTACAATTTGAAAATTTATGATATCTTTTTCTTCAAAATGAAGTTCCTTGGTTGACATCATTTGGTTGCCAAGAAAGTGGTGGAAAGAAAAACATTCACTACTATCTTTTGCACTACACTTCTCTTCTCCAATCTTGGTGAGAATGTTCAACAATCTCAACTTGACAAGGCCATTCTGGTTGTATTAGGATCATCTTAGTTGCATTCATTATATATACTCTGATTCAATTAACAAGAACAAACTATTTATTATTGTTATTATTGTCTCTGACTCGGTGAATAACAGATGCAACTTAAAACAATGTGAATTTTTATGCTAAGAAATGCAACTGATGCAAATTTCCTTTATGTTTGGTTATAGATAGGCCAGGGTACCTACAGCAACGTGTATAAAGCTCGAGATAAGGAAACTGGAAAGATAGTTGCCTTGAAGAAGGTCCATTTCGACACATCAGAACCCGAGAGTGTGAAATTTATGGCACGAGAAATAATGATATTACAGAAGTTGGATCATCCCAATATAGTGAAGCTTGAGGGATTGGCAACATCAAGAATGCAATATAGTCTTTATCTAGTTTTTGAGTTCATGCAGTCCGATCTGACAAGGGTTATGTCTCAGGAGGGTAGGCTTACAGAACCGCAGGTTGGATATATTTTCCTCTTTACTCTTTCAGGGATTTCAGGAACTGGAGACACTAGATTAATCAGTTGCTAATTTGAATTGTCGATGCAGATAAAATGTTACATGCATCAACTGCTTTCGGGTCTGAAGCATTGCCACGAGAGTGGAATTTTACATCGTGATATTAAAGGATCAAATTTACTAATCGATAAACATGGGATGCTAAAATTGCTGACTTTGGACTTGCAAATCATTTTTCTCCGAACCAGAAGTATCCTCTCACGAGCCGAGTTGTGACACTGTGGTATAGAGCCCCTGAGCTATTGTTAGGTTCAACAGATTATGGAGTTGGAATTGATCTCTGGAGTGCTGGATGCCTCTTGGCAGAGATGTTTGCAGGGAGGCCAATCATGCCAGGTAGAACAGAGGTAATACATTATAATATTCATCAATAATCTATTTAATTGTCAAAATTGTTGTTACTAGTTTCTCATATTAGAATTTGTGCATTCAGGTTGAGCAGCTTCACAAGATTTTCAAGTTGTGTGGTACTCCATCAGAGGCATATTGGAAAAAGTTGAGGCTGTCCACAACTTTCCGACCTCCACAATCATACAAACCTAGTCTGGTAGATACTTTCAGGAATTTTCCTGAGTCTTCCTTGGGTCTTTTGAGCACTCTTCTTGCTTTAGATCCTACATACCGTGGTTCTGCTTCTTCAGCCCTGCAAAGCAAAGTAAGTATGAAATTGGAAACTTATTTAGTACCATTCAATTTTTCCTTTTTCTGCTGGGAAGAAGATGAAAAAGGAAGACCTTTGAATCTTATCTTTATTTCCATATTGTATCCAGCTTTGTTATTTCCAATCAGGGTAGGTGTGCTGTGACTAAGAACACTTCTCGAAATCAGTCTTCAATTTCCTGAAATTTGTTCTTTCAATGTTAAAAAACAATAATATTATTTCTTCTTCTGCTTCTTTTATATGATAGGAAAGCCGATTTAAAAAATTTCTAGAGCTAATGATTTGTCACATAGCTTGGCAATCTTCAATGATTAAATTCAACACAAGTTTGAGAGACAGTGATGTGTGCACCAACTCCATGCATTAGCCTTAATAAACACATATCTTTTCTGCCAGCAAAATGGATTGGGACAATGTAAAGTTCACATGGATGATTTGGCATTAGCCAAAAAAAGAAACTTTTTCCCTTTCTTTGACTTCCAACTGTTAATTTCTCTTAAAAAGTGCTTGTGAGACAAATGCCCTTACATTATGTTGGTTCAAGTTATAAGATTACATGCGAACCTTATTCCGAATCTTCGACTAAGAAAAACTTTGAATTTGCAGTTCTTTTACACAAGTCCATTACCGTGTGACCTTTCAGGCCTTCCTGTTGTTTATAACATGGATGACGAAGCAAACGAACAGAGAAAGTAAGTTTCTTTTTCACAATTGATTATGCATCTTTTTATGTATGTTTTTGCATCAGTTCAATTATGATACTGATTTAAATTTAAGAGCACTGTCAAGGTGCATGGAACAGTGCACAAACACACTCCATTCATCCTTGACATATATTACCAAGTAGTTACAGGTAAATGGGATGAAGAACATGAAATTTGAATTTTCAAAAAATACAAAATGAAGCAACCATGCATCCATTAGGCTAATAATGCAACTTAAAAGTGTTTTTCTCATGATTTGTTAGGAGTGTTAATGCTTATGTTGAACCGCCTAATTATTTTTCTCATTTCGTTGTCACAGAAATCCTAAAATAAAACGACGGTCTCGAATGCTTCGTGAACATAAGAGACAGGGTGAGGAGGCTGAAGAAAAGGAAGAAAGTAACGTTGGTAGGGAGGTAACGAAACTTCGAGCAAAGAGATGCTCTAATGACTCCATGTTGATGTTGTCCCATAAAGTCATATTATCATTACTTCAATGCTAATAGTACACCAGCTTTTTTTGTCTCAGGACACTAAGAAGATGACCGAGCCAAATGTGCAAGCCCAAGAGCCTGCTAGCAGCACCACAAGTACCTCATCCAGTTCAAAGGCGACGCAGGTGGAGAGCCCTTCCCAGTTGCTCTATCCATTTGCTTCATCTGGCCAAAAGACATCCCCAAGTAAACATGGTCATTATAGTGCTGTTAGGAACATCAGAAACCGCCCGCCAATACCCAAATCACAAACACGACCCAGAAGCTATCAGAAGAACAATGATAACACTTACAGGTTGAATCAAGTCGGTAGGTCTGCATCCACTAGGGAATTCAGTACTTTAAACCAAAAGAAGCAATTACAATATGCTATTGATGATTAGGACATGTAAAATGACCAGCTGTTGCTGAGATTTTGCCTTTCTTTCTTCTTCTTCTGAAGGTTTCACTGATATTCTTTCTGCTTCCTAAACTTATTCAAGCTATAAAAACAACCATTGATGCTTATTTTCCCGCCTTACTCTATTAGTAACCAGTACGACATATATCCTGAAGATTGACTAATTAGCCTGCTTTACAAAGTTCAGGATACTGGATATCATCCAGAAACTTTTTTAGTTAAAAGTTTTCGAGATTAGATTTTCTTGATCGCTCTCGGATTATCTAGACTCAAACTTTTTCATACTCAAATCTCTTCGAATTCGGATTTTTAAAATTTGTACCATTTTGGTTTGGGGTGTTTGAAGGGGTCAAACATTTTTGAAGCACAACAATATATATAATTTTTGATACAATGCCTACATTATCCAGACAACCTCAAAGCTCTCAATTGGATGATAATGCACGCTTAAACTTCTCAAATCCACGTACTCTCAGATTTTGCAATAACAATTATGAAAACTAATCTAATTCCACACATAATAAAACAATCTAAATTTAGCTAGTAAAAAACATTTTGTATAGATTATTTTATATAACATAACTGAAAGTAACTATTATTGGTAATATTTATGTATATATGATATATATATGAATTTTATAAAGATAAATAGTCATTATATGATAGTCAATTAATGAAGCATTAAAAAAAACTCTTCTTGAATTCGAGTAGATGAAAATTCACAGTAATTTTTTCAAATCAAGGATTCTAAATTCATATTTAGGCTGTAACTAAGCTATTGGATGTTGAATTGGGATTTAGAATTAGTAAAATGAATTTTACTTTAAAAATATTAAATTAAATTTTCAGTAAAATAACGATTGTTTCAATCTAATTTCAGCCTTTGGAACTGGATGTATATGTGATTTGGAATGATAATTTGAGTTAATTTCGATAGGTAAACGAAGGATCGGTTGGATTGAACTTGAGTTTTAATAAAATGATTAGTTTAAGTCATTTTTAGTAAGAACAAGTAACTCAATAATACTAACTAGAAGAATTGGTTTGTGTCTCTTTGCCCTATATAGGATGGCAAAGATAGTTTGTTTATAATGTGTATATGTTGTGATTGTGTATCTAAGTGTGTGATGTTGTATGATATGAAAGTTTGTGCAAAATGATTGAAATTGTGCCTATAACAATAAGGATGGTAAGAGTACCTTTAATGCCTCTATTATGACAGAAAAAATTATGATTGATACTGTTGAGTTGCTTTTAATGTGTACGAATGCATTGTTGTTGTGAAGTAGTGATGACTACTATGAGGTTTTGCTTCATATGTGCTTAAAGTGAAACGGAAGTGTGCATTTGCTACGTTAAACAATTGAGTGATGAGCATGGGCATTGAAATTAGAAATGAAATGTGTAATGCAGTGTTAAAAGTGACTAAGCAATGTGAATGGAAAGGTTATACTTGGTGCCTTACTGTGATATCATGTATAGATGCAAATGATTTTTTAGAATGAAAAAAGGAATGAAATGATAGCATTTTATACAATTTTATTATGAAAAACGTTCCATATGATAGGTGGTGATTGATTGTCGACGATGGTTAAAAAATGTAACACCAAGAAAATAAATTGTTTAAAAAATAGTGAAAAAATTGATACACCCCTAAAGTTCAATTCCTAAAACAAACACCAATTTAAACGTCAATAACCGCAATGTCGTTTTATTTATGTCATCACACAATTTAGATTTTAGTGGTTCAAGGACATAATTGAAGTTAAAAACAAAGTTTAATTATATAATTGGAGAATTTGGAAGTTCAATAATATAAACAACACAGTGTCCAAAATCCAATGGTATATGATATAGTTTACCCTCTTATTTTTCAAAAAGTTATTTTTATGTCACATAGATGAGTACACAATTTCCCCACTAATTGACCCAGACTATGGGAACGAATTTCTACAATTAAAGATCTTATGAAATAACTTGCAAACAAAAAAGTATGTACCAAAGAAGACAAAATTTCCAGGACTTCCAAAACAACCATAAGTAGGACTATCTGTTGTCTGAATGCTGGTAATTATTACCCCCCTCCAAAAAAAAAAAAGAAAAAGAAAAAAGAAGCTCACTTTACAGATATACATTGACATTGATTTAAGATCTTACATGAACATTCTACTGTCATGCTTTGCACATGCAGCTCGGACTATAATTTTCTACTTTCATACTCGAGGACACTTGGGAAAATGATGCAACATTGGGGAAGAAACTATTATTAAAAGATGTATGTTACTCTGACTGAAAGCTCTTGGATGAATTCTTAATTTGTAAGTAAGCCTTGCATCGATCTAAACCCTCCCTTACACGGTTGGTGGAAGTTTACATCCAGTTGAGACAATCATGACAATCATAGGAAGATCCTCTGGATAGTCCTTGCAGAAGCGCGGGAAACCAGCCTTCTGGCCAGATCAGCTGGTAAGCGAAGCAGCTGCTGTTGCAATTCGGGCGGCAGCTGCCACAGAGTAACGGGTAAATAGGTGCAGACTTCCATGCATATAAAAGATGCTCGAGCATATGAATGTAATTATACAATTCAATACAGTATGGATATACTTAAAAGAATTATTATCATCATAATAAAGCTAGTTCCAGTAAATTAGTAAGCAGCTATCTGAAGGAGGTAGTGCAAGAATCAAGTAAATCGTTGTAGCAGAAATAGAAAAGCATGATATCAAAGAGCTGGTAAAAGTTTAAAGCAGGCAAAAGATGGCCAGGAACAGAAACCAAGGAAAACTATCGCTGTTTATAAATTCGGGTTGAAAGCATACAGTTCAACCTGGAAGAGGCCGATGAGTTTCAGGCAACTGTCAAGTGTTATAAAGAAAGAAAAAATGAATCAAATGGTGTAAGGATCATATAACATCTCTCTTAATGATTACCTCGGGAATGATAGAAAGCATGGCCAGAATTTCTGAAACTAATGCGGGCTGATAGGAAAGCACTGATGATTCCTCCAGGTATGCACTTTCCTTATTGTTGTGGCTACTAACTCCATTAATATCCTAAAGCATAAGAATTTGAAGTCAGTCCTACAAGAAAGTAATAAATTTAAAGCACTAGCATCACAAGATCAGATGCAGCATAAGAAATACAACGACCATTTCATGTTTAATGAGATGTCACATGCAGTTATTCACAATGTTAGTGTTATGGTTTGAATTTTAGATCGTTAATTCAGCTCGTTGGAGGGAGATCGAAACCCCTCAGCTCATCAAAGAGAGATGAAAACTTTTAAGACTCATCAAGAGAGAAACCGAGATCTTTTAGGGGTTTTAATAAAATTCTGACTTAACTTTGATTCATGCCAATTAGCGTCTTTAAATAGAGGATACATAGTTTACTTGAATAAAAGACTTAAACTAAAAGATAAAAAAAATAAAAAAAACTCCAAATAAATAATAAACAACTGTCTCCTAACAAGAACCCATTGAGTAGTCTCAGTAGTAAAAGGGAATATTGTTCTCCCGAGAGAACTCGGGTTCGAGCAGCTGTGTCTACAGAGTGTGCATATGTTGTCAATAGGCTAAGAAAACTTCCGAATAGATACTACTTTGTAATCACCTCAACACTATTAAAAAAAAAATTACTTGAGTTGCAAAATGTGCTCCTATTTCTTCATACGACTTCTCAATAGTGATTAGTGATAACCTCGTCTACCTTTTTTTCTTTTTTGATGTTTCATCAAACTCTTATGTTGTCTCCATGTTCTCAATTTTTTATTTCTTTTCAAAGCACAAAATCTCTCCATGCAGCCCACAAATCTCTCCATTCAGCACAACATTGACCAATTGGTTTAATTTCCTCTTGTATAACTTCCTCCATCAACATCGTCATACGGGATTGCTGGCTCTATATACCAAATTGTTATTTTTTTTTATAGGAATGTAAGGCCTCATTAAAAACCCCCCTCATGATTAACGGGTTAGACTGACGTGATAACCAAATACACCACGACACCATTTATATACCAAATTGTTATGGTCTTGAATTTAGACTATTAATTCAGCTCGTCAGAGAGAGACCAACACCTCTCATCTAATCAAAGGGAGACTCAAACCTTTAGGAGAGACCAACATCTTTTAGGGTTTAGCCTCTTTAAATAGAGGTTACAGAGTTTACTTGAAATAAAAGACTTAAACTAAAAGATAAACAAAATAAAAATGACTCTTACTTATAAACAACTCTCCTTAATAACTCCTAATGATAGTAAAACTGTTCTCTTAAAATAATAACAAATAATAATATTTCCTTTTTTCCTAATGTAATTAACGTAACAGTTAGCTAATCAACCTCATTAGATTCATGAACCAAACTCTAAAATGATCTAAATAAAACCTACTTGAATTCCCGAGTGATATTCGATTTAAGCCACATTATCAATGAAAGTCCTCTCTCTTTAAAAGCTTCAATCAGTATAAAAAATCTCTCAAGATTCCCTTAAAGTAGAACAATTACGATGCTTGATGCATTTGAGTAATCCATTTTTTAGCCTATGCGGTGGTACAAAGCTAGGAAAAAATTGAGGTTCTACAACTTATGACTATTATAGAAAGTAGAACTAGGGTTTAAGATTCAATGAGCGTTTGATTTAACACTGATCTTTAAAAAAGGAATAACTAGAAGCTGAGTTTGGAGCCTGGATTTTCTAGCAGTAGTTAGGCAGAGACAAAAACTTATGCTGTAGTAGAAGATATACATGTCAAGAGAGGAACACCAACAATAAGATGATATTGAAACTATACAAGAATCTTACTCATTGTACTAAGCTTAATTATAAAATTTTGGTTACAATGGTGGAATGTAGTGCAGCATTTTTAATACGGTCAACCTTACAAACTTGTTCTTTTGTTAAAAACATTTTAAATATAATCTGAGTTTCATAAAAATTCTACCTCCATTGCCTTATAATAATTTAGAAAATCTACGGGACACAACATCTTCATTTAAGCAATAAGGTGTAATTGTATCAAAGATAAGTAAGCTTGCCTCCCCCCCCCCTTTCTCTTCATTTATCAACAGTTCAGTACATTCTAACATGAAAAGAAAAATGCTTAGACTCTCACCTCAAAGGATTTTTTATTGCTTTCAGAACCTGACAACAAAAACATGAGGCGGCGTAACGTTCTCAAGTTGATCATGTCCTCCTTGGACATCAAAGAGAATGAGGTGGAACCAGAAAGGGGTATTATTGTTGTGGCCACAGAAGTGAACGAATCAAGTGTTGCTAATCCAAGTGCATCCAAACCCTGTACCAATTTTTAGAAAGCAATTTGAGATCAGATAGAAGCACGATAGCCAGATGATACTATCAAGGGAATTCATGTCGTCAGTAGACAGTACACCTAATTGGTGAGGATCATAATTTTGGGCTTAAAAGCCATTTCAATGGCATTAATTACATGAATGCAAAAAAAAAAAAAAGGAGTCAACCAGAAAAAAGAGTAATTCCATTCCAAAATCTCTTTCAACCACATTATTTAACACCTTTCATCCAGCTTTATTTGTTGTTTTATTACCCACAAGGTTTTAGAACAGATATTTCGGTAGAATTTGCAAGAAGAAATTAAGCAGATCACCTTAGCGAACTCTTCAATTAGTATTTCCCTCACAAAGCTGCCCTGCCAGAAAAGACAGAAAAATATTAATTTCAATTGGGCAATTAAAAATATACATATAAAACAAAGATGTTATTCTGACACCTTTTCATTTAATGTGAAAGAAAGGACTTCCTTAAAAACCACCCTGGAATCGGCTTCTTCTCTTTGTGTCTTAACCAAGGCCTTCTCAGTTCGAGCACGGAGGGACTGCCATATGAATCATTTAAGGATTTGAATAAATTGAGGAAGGGGCTCAAATATTCATAAAAAAGGGAAGGAAATTATATAAGGAAATGTCCAAAACATTTCTTGCCCTAGAATAAGTTGGAAGGAATGTGGCCTAATTGTTTGAAAGATGCCCTGAATCAAAATAAGAATCTGATCTGAATAAAGGATGCAAATACAACAAATATACTACCGATTTTTATTACTGGTGAGCAGAAATAATTCCTTCAATACTTGGGACTATTACAACTCAGAACTTCAGTGGCAGTTGTTTTGCAGAAATAATACAAAAGGGGAAAACAGGGTAAAAGATAAATAGTAAATTTATCAGTTTTCTTTCCTCTTTTTCACATATGCAACTGGAAGCCATCTGTGGGGTAAAAGGAGAAAGCAGAAACAAAGGGGCAGTATGGGGAGTAAGCAAAAGAGATTGGAAAATCTCACCTCTGTCAATAAGGATTCCAGACGATCAATTCTGAAAGCACCATCCTGACAGATTACAAGCCTAATAATCAAAATTTCGAAATGCTATGTCCATGATGTAAAAGTAAAAAACAGAACACAGTAGCATTTCTATAAATAACTGAGATCAGTATAAAAGTACCTCATAAAGAAGTGCTCGCAAAGACGACTTCAGTTGGGGTGAGCTATCAGTCAATACTTTCTTTGCAATCCATGGATATGTACTACCCAAAACTTTGTAATTTGGATCAGAACTTATTGCAATTCCCTCCAATACAGCAAGACTAGGGAAGGATGAGTAAATCAATAAATACGCATAAAGAAGGGTACATATAAGATTCTACATTTCTGAACAGATAGCATGAGGCTGTAAAGAGGACACACCAAATCTCCAAGGAAAACCATTACCTACGAATAACCAGCGAAAAATATGAAGGTATTCGAAATTTGAACTTGTACCTGCCAAAAAAGAAAATGAAATTGTTGAAATCAGGGGCAGAAGAAATAGGGAGAACAACTAGAAGAATGGATCTCTCTTGTATATCCAAATGAAAAACTACATGAATATTTATACATATTATTTATGCTTAGCTAAGGAAATTGTAAGCCTATACAATCCTAGCAATCCAGCTATTAAATCATAAACCTGTAGAATGTAACCAAATTTAAAGTGTATTTTACTTTGTATTAAAGTTGTATGATTAGGTTTATCTACTTAAAAGATAAGTAGATATCTTCTAAGATAAGAGTTTTAGATAAAAAGTAACCTATTAGGACTCCTATGTAAACACTAATCTAATAGGACTCTATTGTTGTAAACACAGCCTATATTAACCAGTTTTAGATATCTTCGACTTTGGGACAGCCTTCAATGCACTCAATCCACATACATTCCATTTTCTCCTAAAAAACCATAAAACACTCGAAAAGACCCTCCTCCTTCAAAGCCAATAAACCTACCTTCTCAAACCAAAGCACCATCCAAAACTCAACTTGAAAATAAAGAACTTTGTGTCTATACATGGAGGGGTCGACCTGCTGAAAATTTATAGGACATCACACATACCAAATTGTCAAGAGCTAGAATTGGGTTCTGCTTCAGGTAATGACTCAGGTATGGAATCTTCACACAATGAAACTCATGTTCCTTTTATTGACAATTTTGAACTGCCAATTGCTCAGAGAAAAGGTGTTTGAAAGTGCACCAACCATCCTATTGACAGGTACATAGCCTATGAGAAATTACTACCACCATATAGAGCATTCACTAGGTCACTTGACAGCATACAAATTCCTAAGTCATCCCAGGAAGCATTAACAAGGCTAATATGGAAAAAGCATGTTGAAGAAGATATCAAGGCCCTAAAATGTAATCGGGCTTGGGTTCTTACGAAGCTGCCACAAAGAAAGAAAACGCTACGCTGTAAGTGGATATTTACAGTCAAATACAAGGCCGATGGGAGTGTTGAAAGATTCAAAGCAAGGTTTATGGCAAAGGGGTTCACTCAGTCATGAAATTGATTACCAGAAAACCTTTGCACATGTTGCTAAACTCAATACAGTTTGAGTATTACTATCACTTGCAGTAAATTAAAATTGACCCCTTTACCAATTAGACATAAAAAAAATGCATTCCTAAATGGGGATCTTGAAGATGTCTACATGAAGATACCTCCAGTTTTAAAGAATTCCTCAAATGACCACAAGGTATGCAAGCTAAATAAGTCATTGTATGGCTTAAAACAATCACCCCATGCATGGTTTGGTAGGTTTACCAAAGCAGTGATCAACTATGGATATCATCAATGCCAATCAGATCACACCTTATTCTTGAAAACTTCATCAAAAGGAAGAAAACCGTACTTATTGTCTATGTTGATGACATCATCATAATAGGAGATGAAACTGAAGAAATTAGCAAACTAAAAGGTATTCTTGCTGCTATCTTTGAAATCAAAGACCCTGGTGCTGTCAAATATTTCCTAGGAATGGAGGTTGCTCGATCAAAGGCTGAAATTGTGATCTCTCAAAGGAAATATATTTTTAACTTGCTAATTGAGACCGGTATGCTTGGATGTAAACCAGTAGAAACACCTATGAATCCCAACTTAAAGCTGAGGAAGGATGATGAAGGAAGTCCAGTTGATTTTTTTTTTATAGGAATAGGATGCCTCGTTAAAAACCTCCCTCTTATTGATTCTCTGCCGTTAGGCAGGAACCCATTAGCGGAAGGAGGAAAAGAGTGCATCAATTTATTAAAGAAAAATCAGTTTACAAAAGACACAACAACACTGTTACAAAACAAAAGACTAAAAACTAAACACTCCTACAGAAAACAAAAGATTTAAAACACTCCTAAACCAACTCCCCTGTAATACAAACGAACCAACCAAAACAGCAACAAAAATCACCCAATTCCCTCCTTAGCTAGCTTATCAACCTCGCTATTACAACACCTAGGTATTATAAGCGTAAATGTGCTTTGAATTCCTTTAATGAAAAATGTAAATGTTTCGTGAATTAAAGAATCAACATTTCATCTTATTTTTACATCTATTTCAACGCAAAACTAACCATGCTAATTTTTCCTGGTAGCTTGGCATTGTTCACGAGCTCTCTTCACCATTAGCACACGTATCTTTTGTGGGTTCCTTCACTTTCCTGTGTATTTAATTTCCCATACTCCAATTGACTTCTCTAGTTCTGGTTCTTAGTGCTTTCATTATATTCTTTTTTGCTTCAAATGATCATTATGAGTTGAAAAAGAAATTTGGTCTTATGAACATGGTAGAGAGCAGATTTCCACACATGAATAGACATACAAATTACCAAAAAAAACAAGGACAAACATTGGAGACTATTGCATCAGCATAATTTCAATACATATGGTAAAACTGAAACATAACACCTTACATGGTAGTTCCCAAATTTCCTAAAAGGTCTCCGAAGCTTATATTCCGGACTCCTTTGGCAACCGCATCTTGGAAGACACCTAAAGACAGAAGACCAAGGAGAACCAATAATTGCTGATTAGTTAATATTAATATGACCATAAGGCAGTCAATTTCCAAAAGTACAAATTGTTGGAGCACCAGTCTCATCTAGAAATAAAAAGGAAACCTGTTAAAGCTTTTGAAACGGCCTCCTTTTCCGCAGTTGGTGGAAGAAGCCTGTAATTTAACAAGTTTTTTTCCTGTAAGCACAGCTGGTTAATCCAGCCTTCAACGTGTTGCATCAATATAATAGCTTTTTCAGATATTATCAGGGAACATGGATATGGTAGTACCCGAGAGTGACAAAATCTTTGGAAAGTGCAACAAAATCACGGTTTACAAGATGGAGACAAGCTTCAATAAATCCGTCTCTGAATTCTTGTTTAAATTCACCCATCATACCAAAATCTGGTCATGAAAGATATTAAAGGTTAATTCTGGACCTTTACCAATTTAATGATGCACAACCACTAAAACAAATTATCAACCTTCAAAAGCTGCCCATCTCTATTTCTAGTCACCAGATACTGAGAAAAGTACTAATAAAAGGACAACATGATCAATATATGATAAAACTATCACAACTGTTAAATCAGCAAAAAATTAAAAGATAATAATAAAAAGAAAGAAAAATGTCAATCTAAATGTAAAGCAAAAATAATGAAAACAAAAAACAGAAACCTTAAATCGAGTATAATCAACCAAAAATTTATCCATATTCAAGAGGAATACCTATATACGCCAATTTCCTATCATATGTACGGAAAAGGTTTCCTGGGTGAGGATCAGCATGATAGAACCCATTCTCTAAGAGTTGATTGAATGAGCAGTAAACCCCTACCTAAGCGGCATCACAAAACAGACATTCAAGTCATTAAGCCACGAAGGCAAACAACGAAGTTATTGACGTTAATTGCAAAATATTAGAACAATGGCAAATAGCTTTAAAATTGACCTCAACTAGATATAGATCCTTCACTTCAGACAACTTTTGCCCCTAAAATAAAAATAAAATAGAAAATCAGCAGAACATCAAGTGAATATACAAGTATTCTTGAACTTTTAAGAAAGAATGACTATATTGGTCACTTTTAAATGAGGTAGACCGTGTTATTCTATAAATCCGTGAAGAAGAAAGTTTGTCTGAAGTATGGCGAAGTCACTCATGGGTGGACAAATGAAAGGATGGGAGTCACACACAATGAACACTTGTCTTATTCAAGAAACTCTTGTTTTACCATTCCAAATAAAAGAATAAACGAGATGGGAGATTTAGGCCCATTTTCATATATTATAAGCAAAATGATTATGCATTTCTTAATAGGTTGATGTAGAAAAAATATCTCTCACAACTTGCAAATCTTAATATAGTCCTGCTCTAAATTCTCCATAACAAATGATCAGCAAAATATATTACACTTAAAACTGGGTTGTATGTCCATACCCTTTTTCATGTTGATGTGGAAGTAGGCAAAAAGGTTATGTACTGAGATTGTAATAAGTTTTGTTTAACATATGCCAAACATGAGATACTACTATTTGTGCAGAAAAGGAACTATTCGAAGTATTCTTTTCATATTTTCATGAATAAATTTGTGATTCTTACTTCTTTAGTTTACAAATAGGCAATACAGACAATACCTCCACCCATTCCATAACAAGGACTCTACGAGTTGTGTGCTCCATGTATATGTTTGGAACAAAAACATCTTTTATACCACCATACAGACGTCTGATTAAGAAAAATGCAATAGTGGTTAGTGGCTTAGAGCAGTAAGTTACCTTCAATAAAAAGGGAAAAAATGGTTATATAAAAGTAATGAGAAAAAAATAAATTGAAGATGCAAAGGTTGCAGATTTATGAGAAGAACCAAAATAAGGCAATGTATTTTTAGAAAACAACATAAAACCATATGGTATAATGTCTGCGTGAATGTGTGAGAGAGGGAAAGGGAGAAGGTAGGATCAAAGAAGAAAAAAACCGAAGTGACACTCCAGAATGTAAATGACATGTCATTGGTCGTGCATATGAACCACCATCTTACAGATTTGGATCCTCCATCTGGTAGAGAGTACAGATTTATTTAGATCATGTACCACAAGGACAGATAAATATTCATGATTTTTGGCTGATGATTTTTGCCTGACCTATTATGTTCTTGCAGTCCATATAATCACTCAGGTTTTTGGTCCCCAAATAAATATAGGAAAAGGAAAGAGAGGGAAGTTGACTAAACAAAAATGACTGTTGGTCTGCATTTACTGATGTAAAGGTAAATTAAGCAGATGAAACATAACCATGTGGCTTATATATAATTATATAGATCTCTGGCTAAAAGAAAGTATACAACTATATAGATCAGACAAGGGAGCCAATGTTCAATTACATGATATGGCCTAACCACAAAATTATGAAGTAAAAGTCAACTAAGAAAACAGAAAACATAGCAGAATGAGGAGCTCAATTGTCATGTGTTAGCAGAATGAGGCACACCTGTTACCACACTCTTACCTAAACTTGAGTCCATTATTGGCCTCTTTCGTATAGTCCATCTCCTGCATACAATGTGATACACCTGTATTCAATATGAAGTTCTAAGCATATTCTGCATAAGGAAAAATAACATCTTAGATAGTTTCGAATAAAGGCTTAGATGAGTAGAGAGACACATCTTATAACAATTTAAAATATTTGTCTACCGCAAAAGATATTTTACAATAAGTTCTACAGATAAAAGGGAAGTTTATTATAAAGAACACAATAAAGGAAATAAATTAATGCTCGTGAAGAAAAAGAGGTAATAAAGATTTTGTGTTAGCTACTTCAACATTCATTTTAAAAAGATTCCATGAGTTGAAATATAAATATCCCACCGTAGAGTTTTAAAGAGAAGAGAATTTATCATCACAATTAACATGCCAATGACTTCATTTCATGTAATTAAGTAAAAGGTAAAAGGAGAGAAAAGGAGGAAGAAGAGGAGGGCTGCTACCGTGGGATAGGAGAGAGAAGAAAGAAAACACAAGAATTGTTCTGAAAATTCAGCTTGATCCTAGCTCAAGCCTGAATAGGCTTTTATACTAATAATTAGCAATACAAAATTAGGAAAGGCCAAGATTAAATTATGTTACACCACGGGTATGAGACCAATTTACTGAGTGATTAACGGAAAATCCAGATTCGACACAAGGGTCTCTGCATTGTTCCTACTCTGATTTTTACCTATGGTGATGGAACTTTAAGGCAAATGGTGTCTATCCCTGTATGAGGGTATTCCGTGTTTTCATATGTACTGGGTGTTTTATTTAATGAAATATGAGGTACTCTTTTCTTCCTTCCAATGTTCGTTAACATACTTGTTAGTATGTGGACGAATATGAAGGGAGTTTTTAACTGAGACCTCCAATTTTTATCCAAAAAAAAATGGAACTTTAAGGCAGTTTCCTACATCTCTAAGGGAGTAACCAACTTAATTTAATGAAAACTCAACTTATTTTATTACTCAATAAATTTCCTCTTAAATAGAGGTTTACAATAAATTTCCGAGGAGGAGCTGGTTTGTTTCTCTATGCTATACTAGGGTTTATAGTTTAGCTACGCTACCATGTGAGAATTCACGTAGAAAGGAATTTCTCTTCTTTTCAGTATGAGGAAAGAAAACACAGACTTATAATTGGAAGTGAGTTACACAAACTAGAACTTTTTATCAACTAAGTTTCTTATCCACTAAGAAAGTAATCTAATCAGATAATTATTAATATTTAATCCTAATTATTAAGAAAAATAAAATTAAAATAAAAGATTAACTATTTTCGGCTTCTACAATAGTTGCTTTACCAAGCTGCGTTTATAGAAGAAAATCAATCGATCCCACCATTTGAAACAACTTTGGTTCCAATCATTAAAGCAAGCTCATACTTTAAGCACGAACACCTATGTTACACTAAATATCTAACAATCCAATATTTAACAGGTTCCCTATACAAAGCAATACCTTAAAGACTTTGCAATAGAAGATATCAATAGACATTTTTGGCAACTTCATAAAATAAGGTTAGAAGTTGTTTCTGCATTTTGACAAATAGAGTTAAACACACTGGAGGAGAAGGAAACGAATACATACCCGAAAAAGACTTGATGCCCATTCATCAACGACTGCCTGAATATTGACCATATTTCTTGGTTAATACCAGTCGATGAATAATAAGCAGAAATCCATAGTTAAACTAGATATGCTCAATTCAGAGACACATTTAAAGGGAAAATCTACTTAAGGGCAGAGCAATGCAATACCAAAATTACCTGAAGATCAGTATTAAATTTACCAGCTTTCTTAACCACCCCAGCTAGAAAGCGCAGAATTAATATGTCTAAGGAAATTGCAGCTTGAACACCAGGCCTCTGAACTTTGACAGCAACAACCTGTCCACTACGACGAAGCCTAGCTTGATATACCTACTTGAGGGGGGGGGGAGAGAGAGCAATGAGCACTGAGTCTGGTTTTCCAAGACAAATTTTAAAAACACTCGGAAAGAAAGCAACTATAAAGGGGTAAGCCAAGAATATAATCGGATACAACCTGTCCAAGGGAAGCTGCAGCAATTGGCTCTGGTGAAATCTCGGAGAAGAGTTCATCTATTCGGAGACCAAGTTCTTTTTCTATAGTATCAAGGGCAACTTCAGTAGAAAAAGGACTTATTCGGTCTTGCAACAAAGAGAGTTCATCTAAATATGATGGCGGTATCAAATCCTACATAAAAAAATGCATCTTGAAAGGTTCATATATTGAAAGTGAATACAGCACACTAAGTATAACATGATGAAAAGCAATATGAGCATTAAGAACCCCATATGAAGCATGCAGTTGACTTCAGGATGTTGCTAGAAAGGCTAAAAACGGATCATAAGTGATTACTAACCCAGCCAGTGTCAAATCTTACAAATAGAGCTAAAGAAATGTGAAATCTAGTTTTCAAGCATAACAGCTAAGCCATATACCAGCAATATTTATTCAGGAAGCTTAATGTTTTTGTAGAATAATCTTTTTTTGGAATGATCAAGGCCACAACACAAAACATTAGGAAAGCCTTATCCATTACCCTATCCTAGACATACCTAAAATAAGGGCGATACAAACAAAAATGAAGATTAAGGAAAACCAGAGATGGTACAATTGGCAGTAAAAGATGTTTCAACAAGAAAATAAGCCAACAAATCAACCCCCAATATTACTTTACCAACCTATCACTTCACCTTACATGATCTGCTAGTTGTTTTATAAGAGATCAAACTTAAAGCTAAAGACAATGTTTGAGGAAAGTAAATGTGAACTTAAAAGAAAAACTACATTTGGGAGAATCAAGGGTATAGTTAATGACAAAACCATCATCATACTAAGCGATATTTAAAATGATTGAGGTGATGAAAAATACAGTTCAAAACGACCGTTCATCAAACTTCTCACATGACGTTACTCAATTCTTTAGTTTGAAATATTGAAGAGGATATTGTCAAGTACAGTAATAAGTGGTTAGAATACACACACATGTTCCGTAACTACTTGTTTGATATCTGTATTAGCAAAGTAAATTATTTCTCCAACAATTATCAAGAAAAAAGATGTCTTCGACATCGTGGACAGAAGATTCCTTCAAAATGTGTATCTTGAATTAACCAAATAGAATTATCAGCAATACTACTGTGTAACTTTGCCCTTAAAGGAACAAAACAGGAATCTAGAATTTCCATTAACCAAGTTTAGTTTGAATAGAAATAATTTACCTAGTTTTATCTTTCATTTTCTATCTAAAAATAATAAAAAAGTATCTCCTACACAAACATTAGGAAAGAAAAAGTTCTTGGGAAATATTAAGATCAATTGTCCCACTATAGTAATTGCTAGTAAAATCTAGACAACTTAAGATTGTAAGTTATTTTTTGGCCAAAGGAACTATTTAGGCTATAGTACAAGAGATTAGTATATGTAATATTCAGAGGAACGTAAAAAACCCAAAAAGATAAGATTATCTACACTTCAGAATGCATCTGTCCATTATAGTAGGAAAGCCCTTTCCTATAATTTGAAAGCATGTGACAAGAAGACCCGTTGCCAAAAGCAAGTTTCAAAAGCTAAAGTAGGCAAAGGACCCAATATGCATCAAAAGTTAAAAAGAAAAGTAGAAAGCAAAGTAAACTGTGTAGCACATGAAACTTATCCTAGATGATACGAGAACTTACAGGTCGAGATGAAACAGCTTGAGCAATTTTAATGTATGCCTACAAAGAAGAAAGAAACTAAATTTATTTTATTTAAAAAAATCAAAACATAAAATCAAAGACGATTCCAAGTAATTAGCAATTTCAATCCAAGTACAAATGTACAATAGTTTGTAATGGTTTTTGTACTAGTTAAAAAAAGCTATATTTTAAAAGACTGCAGCTTCTCACCAAACGAAAAGTGTATATAGTAGAAAACTCCACAGAAGGAGTTTTCGTTAAGTGAAAAACGCTTTCTCGGACAATGTTTCTAAGATATATTCAAGACAGGCCTAGAAAGAGCTTGAGTAGCAATGAATCTTCATGGAATAATGGAGAGTATAGCTGATCTGAACAGTAATAGAGTAACAGCATAAACAGCTTTTGTGGCTACAACATGAATGCTAAAGTAAACATAACATTTAATAAACTACATGATTTTCAATATTTTCAGGTGATATTTGAAGTGAACAAGCTTATACTTCCTGCCGCCTCTCCCCTCTTTTTCCTTTATCTTGATGATCAAATCATTTTTAGCTGCACTTACCCATTCTCTAAAACACTGTGAACCTTTTCTGCTATTTTTCCACAAAATTTCTAAACATTTACATAAATTTCTGTACCATTAAACTTTTTCCAAGTAACAATGAACTGGAATTATTTATTTATTTATTTTTTTTGGGGAGGGGGGACAAAGCTACAAAAAAATGTAGTATTCAGTGGAACGAAATAATAAATTTTAGTAGTTTTGAAAAACCTAAAGCTAATTAGTGAAATGGAACTACCAGTACCCAGCAGACTATGTTATGACATTACAATTTAACAATAACTTAAACAGGAGACATGTATAAAATGTAATAATATCGGTTAAATGATGATCAGCACCAAAGTTAACGGGTACTATATTCAAAAGTGTATTTTAGTCATGTATTATAGAACTACACCATGTAATCCTTGTTCATTTGATATAAGCTCCAACAAGTAAAATTGATAACAATGCTAATGAAAAACCAGTTATATGCTGATTTGCATTCCTAAAATCTAACAAGACAATCAAAATTCAATCCAAAAACAATGAAGTTAGAAGGTTTTTTTTATGAATATACAGTTGGAGAACTAAAATGCACTTTACATAGAACAATTCATAAAATAAAATACCGGCCCAAGTTCCACCAGAATTTTCCGAAGCTCGGCAGCTCTAACCTGCAACGCAGCAACAGGGGAAAAACAAATCCAATTTTTTAAAGCTTCCTTCGGTTGAAAATAAATTCTGGAATAAAAAAATAACTTTTCTGAATAAAAATACATAATTTTACTCAAATTTAGAATAATTGTATTTAGAAAACAGTGTCAAATAAATTCAATTTCAGCATCAATTTTCTCTGAAAGCGAGACTACCTTATAGGTAAAGAGCAACTAAAAATCAAACCTTGAACATTTGATCGGATCGTTCCATGAGATTATCAATGTATCGATCGCCGAACCATTTTCCAAAAGTAGTAGCAATTTGAATAAGCCGAGCCAACAAAATCAAGGGTTTTCTCCTATAAATAGCGGCGATACGCGAGGGGCTGTAATCGATCAAGGACTGAGCCTCCAAAGCACTGAGGCGGAAAAGGTAACCAGACTTCTTCGTGAAAGAATCAACATCTAGGCCCGCGGCGGCGCGTAGGATGGGGCGTTGCGGTGGAGGTTTTAAACGGAAGCCAAGTTTAGGAGAGGCGGGAAAGGAGTGGATTGGTGGATAGGAAGGAAGGAGTAGAGCCATTTACTCCTCTCTTTTTTCGTGCAACTGTTTCTCTTTAATTCCCTTTCGTTTTGTTTTATGAAAGAAAAAGAAAATTGGAAGAATTTGTGAAAACGGGAAGAAGATGAAGGAAGCGTACAAGGCTCAGTCTCTTTTCTGGTCCCTTAATATTTTATCCAGTTCCCTTTCATAATAAAAACGGCAAAAAAAAAAAGAAAAAAAAAACTGAGATTTGCCACCTTTTAATTTCAAACCATGGAATTGAACATCTTACTTCAAAATTCAAATAAGCAAATACAACACATTTACATTCAGATTTTGATCGGGAAAAAGCAGCACATTTAATTCAGCACTACAACAAAGAATGGCTCTCACTTGTTCCGGAATGTGCATGGAAATTATACACTTATTCTCTGATTCTCATATGGAATTTCATTACTTGGGTTTTTTTAGTTTAATTGCGTTCTATAGTCTAGTGTTTAATGAAATATTAAGTTAAATTTTTGTAATTAAGAAAGGATAAAGTACACTAATGATCCTCCAACTATATGATGTTACTTTGTTTAGTTCTCTGACTATTAAAAGTTACAAAATGATATCTTAACTATAAGATGATGTTTTGTTGTTGAGTCATCTACTATTAAAATTTATAAAATAACAATCCAACCATTCATATATTTTAAAATAATCCTCTTTCGTTAAAAAATATATGTTCATCTAAGTTACACGTTAATCTGCTAATTAAAATACGATAAAATCATATTTTAAAGATGTTTACTAATATCGTCATTGCTTTCAATCACTAACTCGACGACATATGTATACATAGACTCAATCTATAAAATATAGCTAAAATTATTCTGAGACCATATTTTATCATGTCCTAGTTAATAGGTTAATATCTCTATTAGATGATCGCTAATTTTTTAATGGAAAATAACGAGCTTGTAACATATAAATAGTCGGATGACCATTTTGTAACTTTTAATACTCAAAAGACTCAACAAAGCAATATCATATGTTCAAGAGATCATTTTGTAACTTTTAATAATAAGAGGTTTAATATGTATTTTACCCTTAAAAAATACAATTTAACTATTACACCAAAAAGATATGATTTTGTTAGAGTAAATTTATTAAAATATTATATTTTAAGGGATTTTAATTCTAATTCTTTAGAAATAAAAGTTAAAACTCGATTTTCTTCTCCTGAAAATTCCGAAATTCGTAAAAAAAAATCCTAAATTACTTAACCTTCGTATCTAAGAAAAAAAATGTTAATCCCCATTTTCAAATCTTCGAACCTTCTATAAATACTGAACCTTGTTTTCTTCAATCTCTTTTTCCCTATTTTCTTGGTCTCGGATTTTGCTGTAAATCGCATCTTTTCATTATGTCTATGCTCGATTCCTTTTTCAACAAAGGCTTCGAAGCTGCTAAATGGTACCTCTTCATTTTCGTTTCTTAATTTGTTGATTTTTACTTCTTAATTCATTGATTTTACCTCTTTTTTTGCTGTTTTCTTTTTAATAATTTTATATTATCTTGTTTTTCACTTTGTTTACACATATTTTTGATAAATTTTGAAAGTTTAGCTCGATTAACCGTAAGTTTGATAATTTTTGGGAATTATGCAGCAAAACTTTGCTAAAATTGACAATTCCGCGGATAAAGTTGTTGAGGAATAGGAGAGAGATTCAAATAAAGCAGATGCGCCGCGACATTGCTAAGCTTCTTGAGACTGGCCAAGAAGCTACTGCTCGAATCCGGGTATATCTTTACATTTAAAAAAAAATGTTAGGTGAAGCGCATATATGTTTTTTGATAGTCTAAATTTCCTGTTTTTTCGCAACTTTTTTAGTGCTTTGATTGAATTCGATAGTCTTTAAGAGGCAATGCTTGGGTTTTCATTTCAGGTGGAGCATATAATAGGGGAGGAGAATATAATGGCTGCTCAGGAAATACTTGAGCTGTTTTGCGAGCTTATTGCTGTCCGTCTTCCAATCATAGAGTTCCAAAGGTTATTGCTTCAAATTTCTGCATTCTTTTTCTTCCTCAATGATATAATATTTTCAATTTGCATTTTTGTTGCTTTGGGTCTGACCCAGTTTGGTAGGATGAATTTTGCAATGTACCTAGTTGATGATTTCAACTTTAAGTCAGATTAGGTCGAGGGATGGGAGCAAATATTTGTGGAAGGGGTTTTGGAAATTGAGTGAGGGAGTAGTTTCACCTTCAATATAGTTTATTGAATGTTTGATTCAGTAAATTCTCTATAACTACCCTTCTCCTATACATTGTCATGTGGATATTAAAATCTTGAGCTGCCTTTCGGAAGCTGCATATGTGAATTATTAGCACCTTTTTAATGTAGTTATGAACATTAGTATCGCATATTACTTGAATAATATAGAAGCTTCATAATTTATAATAATTTCTGGAGTTGCTCAAAGATTCAAGAATATACCGCGTTTTGTAGAATAAACAATGAGTAACCATCTGTTTTCAGGGAATGTCCCTTAGATTTGAAGGAAGCGGCATCTAGCATTTGCTTTGCTGCACCAAGATGTGCCGATCTACAGAGTTGTTGCAGGTTCAAATGTTATTTACTTCCAAGTATGGGAAGGAATTTTTATCAGCTGCAACTGAGCTCCGGCCAGACTGTGGTTGTCAGGTAGTATAAATTTGAAGGTGGAGTGTGTATTCTCATTTTGTATTTATAATCTTCCAGTTGACAGCCTTCTTGTAAATTCTTAATGCAGTTGATAGAACTGTTATCTGTACGTGCTCCTTCACCCAAATAAAATTGAAGCTTCTTAAAGAAATTGCTGAAGAGCATGAGTTGGAGTGGGATCCAGCTTCCACTGAGAACGAGTTTTTCAAACCACGTGAAGACTTATTGGTAAGTAATTTTAGACTCTGACTACTCTTGTTTTCTGTTCTCGTCTCATTGGAGTTGCCTTTTTGTTTGTCAGAATGGCCCAACTGAGTTTGTCAGCGGATCTAAGTTGCCCCTGCCTACAAAGAAACACAATGAAACAATTTCTGCTGCTGATCATGCCCAAGTTGAGCAGCCTGATTCTGATGCAACTTTGACCCATTAGATTTACCTGAAGTTCCTAAGGTGTCATTGCAGCCAAGAACAAATGCTGTGTCAGCGCCAGTAATTAGCCCACATTCACCAGCTGCTCCAAAGCCCAGTGTTGACCGTGTATCATCTAGAAAACCTAGCGCTTCTGGATATGTATCACAAACGTCACCTTTGGAGCCTGAGATATTGATGCAAGAAAATTTAGCGACTAGAGAAAATGAAATGTCCAATGATCCCGCTGGAGCTAAACAAAATAAACAGTTTCTGCCATTCATTTCTCCTCCATTATCTCCTGCGTCAATTTCTGCAAGACCAAGTGATTCACCTGTCTATTTTGAGACCAAAAAATGAGGCCAACATAGACCTACGGGATGTTTTAGCTGCTGCTCAGGCAGCTTCTGAAAATGCCGAGAATGCAGCAGCTGCAGCTCATTCGGCTGCAAGTCTTGCCCAAGTTAGAATTGCTGAATTTACACAGAAAAAGGATGAACAGGTCCCTGAGAGTAGCAGTCCTGAGAATCCTTTTAGTAATCATGCTGATACTTTATATTCTCGAGACTCCCATCAAGTACATCAGGAGCAGGTACACCAAGCATCAGATGCAGCAGATCTTCCTTCAGTCGACAAACTGAAAATAGGTTTCAATTCACCCGTTTCCAGTGACCATGCAGTTGAACAAGATTACCTTCAGCACCAGCCGCAGAGATTGTCTTCAATGGATGATGAATTCTTCTCATATCCAAACCTTTTCTCGAGACAGAATTCGAACCTTGGATCCAATGGCTCTTTTGAAGATAATTCCCATACTAGTCGCTATTAAGGGAAACCATTTCGGCCAGTCGTCTTATTTTTGGGCCTTTCCCTGGAGCGGATTTGAATGATAAGATATGGTGATAATCTTTATACACAAGGTCAATAAATTTCCCGAGTGCAAGTTGTGTATCACGGAAGGCCGTCCTAGTACTTACCTAACTTTAAGAGGGTTATTTCAAGTTAAGATTCATGTTGTAAATGAGACGATAGATTACAAGTTACTTTAGTTTAATTCGATCAAAGTTCAATTAACATTGATTTAGGCAAATAGATTTGAATTTAAATTTGACTCAAGATTTTAATGAGTTGAAGGGAACTACTTGAAAAATATATTGAAATTTCAATATTAAAAATTTAATATTTTAAATTAAATTATTAATAACATTGACATTTATGTATTTTTTTTAAAATACAATATAAGATATTTTTGTATTTAGGTTCAGATTCGAGTTTAAATCAAGTCTGAGTATTTTGTATTTAAAAAAGTTCCCAAGGTTCAAAATTTTTCAAATTTGAGTAAAGTTTTAATTTTTGATTACAAATTCAAGTCGAGTTTGACAAATTTTAATCAACAAACTTTCAAGTCGAACTTAGTTTTGAAAATTTAGTTGAGTCAAGTTTAATTTTGATTTTTTTCAAGTGAATTGAACTCAACAATACTCGGACTCGACTTGTCTCATTTACGGCCATAATTGAGATGATGTGGAAATACAAATTTCTTTCTGAAACTAGCTTCAAAGAGGCCATTGTTAGTGGTTAAACACTTTGAAAGAATATGTTATCTTATGAGAGAAAAATGGAGAAACAAAGCAGAAACACCCAATGTTGCTGCTCAGGTTTTTCGGATATGAGTCGACAATTAGCAGCAGCAGATGGCCCTTGCGATTACGTAACAGGTATACAAAAGTTTCGAACGTGCAATCTATAAACATGTACTGCCATTCAAGAAAAAGAAAACGGAAAAATTAAATCCCCTAGAAAATTCCAGGCCGAGCCCAAGACCCATTTGGCATGTCTGTCTGTCACAAAGAATTAAACTGGGAGCAGATGAAGTGCCAAGAAGGGTGAGACTGACTGCCACTGCAGGAACTACTTGGAAACATCATGGCTCAATCAAACTGCAGGAAAAAGATACAAATTTGCACAATGTAATGAATACAATGCGGACTGGACTTGCAGGAGGCATAAATCAGGAAACGGCCATCAAATAAAA